TCCCCCCGATGCCCCTGAGCAGAATAATCTCATACTAAAAAATATAGATAAACAAATAAAGCAACAGGATAGTGGGGACAGCCTGTCCCAGGGATTTCCAGTCAAAACCAAACTAACCGATATCTAATGCAGAAATGATGACTGCTGATAATGAGGTAAAAAATGAAGAATTAGGGTCCAAAGGTCCCCTTGATGAAAAACAGGAAGTCAAGATTGCCCCTGCCCCACCATTACAGGTCAGTGGCTCCCCTCCGCCATCTTGTATTGGCTTTGATGAAAAACGAGAAGTTAAGGCAGCCTCTGCTCTGCCATTAGGGGGTGATGTCTACTTTCTGCCATCTTGTACTAACTCTAAGGAAGTTTCCCCCCAGTCCATCTACCCCTCCCTTCCAGAGGAGGACTGGAAGCCCCTGCCACCTAGGCCCTTCTCCTATGATACAATAGGTGATTTTCCATAGTTTTTTCTAGTTACAGTCAATCAGGGGCTACAGAACCCTAATGTCTGGAATCCACATTCTCATGATACTTTGAAAAAGCTATGTAAGGAAGCCATTGAGGATGGCATTCGTTCCACTTGGTTTGACCAGCTATTAGATACAATCAGCCATGTGGCCAACACCCCATATGACTGGCAGAATATTGCCAATGCCTGTCTACAGGGAGGTGAGTTTCTCTTATGGAACGCTGCTTATCAGGATGAATGCGAACAACAGGCAGAGAGCAATAGAAATGCCAATGTCCAAAACATTGGATTTGATGCCTTGGTAGGGCGTGGCACTTTTGAAACCCCACAAGCCCGGCACAGGGACCTCCTCCCTACTTTGAACAAGTGCAGCTTTGTGCGCTCCGTGCTTTCCAAAGTATGCCAAATCATGAGGATACCAAATTGACCAGATTGATACAAAAATCAAATGAGCCTTCCTCTGACTTCGTTGAAATGTTCCATCAAAGCATTAACAGGAAAATCAGTCATCAGGGGGCCACAGTTGCTTTGCTCAAGGATCTTGTATATGAATCCTGCTCTACTGAGTGTCGCCTTCCCATAGGACCCGTTAGACACAAGGATGTCTCTGAATGGATTCTGGCCTGTCAGGATGTGGGGACTGCTCGAGCTCATGCCACAGATCTGGCTGAGGCACTGGCTGTTCACCAGCCACAGGCGGAGACAGACAAGGGAAAATGTTGGGCTTGTGGAGGACAGGTTCATTGGTCTCGCACCTGCCCTAACAAGATCTGGCAGATGTACGTTACTCACTTCCCTTCCTTTGGCAAGCTCAAATATATTCATCATATTATTGACACCTGTTGTTAATGCAAGGGCAAGGCTATGCTTGTGTCTTTCCATATAATGTTCCAGCCCCCATGTGGATCCCAGCCTGGAACATCAGAATTGCCTGTGACAAAAACCTTCACTCCACAACCACTGACCGTGGAGATGGCAGCCCTGACCCTGGAGGAAGTGATGCACCACCCAACCACCAAGAGACCGACCCAGCATAGCAGACCACAAAAGCAACCAGCTCCAACATCACATCCTGGGATGACCTTGAGTATGTCACTTCACAAGCAGAGACTATAACCATTACTGATATCTCCTAATTTTTGGACCTTGCATTGTTAATTTTGTTAAGGCTAGTTCAGTTAGCTGTTGCCCCACCTCCAGATCTTGCCAGGCATGTCTCAGCAAACAAGAACCCACCATTCCTTGCCTTTACCAACCTATAATTGGCCTCCGATGGGTTTCAACAAATTCTTGACCCCTGAGGAGGCCTTTAAACAAGCCAATACTGGATGTACTGCCTCTCCCTCTGCCAAACCACACAAAGGGACACACCCTTCGAGGGCTGGTAGTCAATGACGGGTAAGATCCCTACAGACTGGACAACCTAAGACCGGCACAGTCCATTATGCTGAGTGACCCTTGAGGTGGACAACAATGCTGAGACAAAGAATCTTGACTCCCACTGGTTGGCCATGGAGTTGGCACAACCTGCTCTTAAGAAAGCTCACCATCTTGAGGGAGGGAGCTCTTGATACAATGACCCCCTGAGCCATTCTACTTTGCCTTGATGTATCTGGACTGATAGCACTATGCTATATATTCTAAACTATACCTCACCTTTAAAAATGAAAAAAGGAGGATATGTGGGAGACATGCTTGATCCTAGGGTGAAAGTCTTATTGACATCCATACAGCAGGCCCAAGGCAATGGCCGGACCGCTGGAGCCACAAGGAATGCCTTGTGATATTTGCTCCCATTGGCAGATCATGAGACTGATGCCTAGAGCTCGCCACTCCCTAATCACCACCCTTGGAATTCCAAATTGCAACACTTAGATACTGCAACAGTCAGTGTCACATGGTTTCCAGAAATCCAGGGTCTGTAATCTGAAACACAGTATGCTAATGAGGCACCCTACCTGCTATTCTGTGATAGGATGTTAAGTCTGTTATGCTAATAGGATCCTGTCTGCTATGCTAATAAGGTATCTTATTTGTTGTGCTGTGATTGGACCATAACCCCTATTTAAGTTTGTGCCTTCCTGAAATAAAGCAGACCTGTGTCACTGAACCTGGTCTCGTGTGTCTGAATGTGGCTCCATTGACACAGTCTCCTCACCAGCCCTGGGGTCTGGAACCAGGCAAGCAGAAGTGCAGCCTCAACCCAGGGAAGGTGGAAGAGTGGCCTCAGCCCTGGGTGAACAGAGGAGCAGCCTCGACGCCCATGAGAACGAATGAGCAGCACCCACGAGAACGGAGGAGTGGCTGCCACTGGTGGTGACCGCATCTAGGGATGTGAAAGTTTTTGGTTGTCTCTTAGATCTAAGAACTCTCCAGTCCTGTGTATTTGGCTGTGTTTACAGTACCACACATGGGCTTCTTCCTATTAAGTGGGCTTTTAGTCCAATTGGGTAGTTGTTGATTACCCCCAAGATAAAAGTGCCACTACTGCACCAATGTCATATGCTATGCAGGTCACTGGTGTGGTTATTTGGTCTTGAAGCTGGTGTTGGACCATTGATTTGATGTACTCCCTTAGCACTTTGCATAGTGCTTTCCAAAGCTATGATAGCTAGCCTTCAGGAGAAGTGGAAATGCAGGAACCAGAATAATGAAAAGGAACTAGAAAGGTAAAGAGAAAGAAGGAACCTGAGATAGAAGAACAGTAGGAGACAGGTGCTACTAAGGGAGAAATGGATAAAATGGGGGTATTTAGATGGGAGAATTATACAAGAAACTTTGGGAATAAAAAGAAAGACCTCAAAAGAGTGGGACAATAGGAGACTAGTATTATCAAAAGAGAAATAGGGGAAAAGGGAATACTTGAAATGGGGAAGTCATGGTGGAAGGGTTAAACAGGGAGAGAGCAAGGAGAGATAAATAATGACTAGTTAATATAAAAAAAAAGGAAATCATATTAATTCATCAACCTAATGGCCTATTATAAATACAATATCTCTAAATAAGTCCGTGTGTATAGCTAAAGGCTACATAGCAAGAAACTATGTCAGACAGGAGAAACCTTCCTTTGAGTTGTTGGCCAGGGTGGTCCAAGAGATTCCCAAAATTATACAGGCTATTGCCACAGCCCTTGATTGCCTCCCAGAACTTGAAGGTAAGACCCTATTGCTGAGGACAGAACATACTTCAGACACAGAATTTAGAGAAATGGAGGTGGATCTATCAGTTATTTTGATGGTTACCAATTTCAAGGACTCTTGGGTTTTAGGAAGGCATCATAAGGGTGTGAGGACAGCATGCTCTGGGAGCCTCATTTTCAGGAAATGCTTTGGATGCTAGCAGTGAGTGTATTGGAGACATGAAGGAGCAAGCGGGAACAGCAACCCAGACTCAGGTGGGGCAGTGGTTGTGGATCTTCCTTGTGTAGGAAGGACTCACTGGAACCTTTGGGAGCTAAAGAATGAATGGCTTCAGCACCCACCAGGACTGGTGGTCAGAGTGAGAGTGCCATGGCAAGTTCAAGGTGCAGGAAATGAAGGGAAGAGACTCACAATAGTACATGGAAACCATTCATCTCACCCCCCAAGAAGAAGCCAGAAGCTCATGTGGGGAATGAGAGAAAAGTTCCACCCCTGGGTCCTTTCCTTCTCGTTCTTCTATACCAGCAGGTGCTCTGATAACTGGCATTCTGTTCAGTCAACTTTTCACTTTAGTATTTGTTTTTGGAATACTCCTTTGGCACATTGGCAAGTAGATGCTTTTAATGAACAGTACCTAGTACTGTGTTTCTAACATTCACTGGGAAAAGTCTGTCAGGTGCCTGAAGGATTTCAAACAAGCTTTCATTTGGTTTAGCTCCATGACCTCTTCAACTCCAATTACTTCTGCACTTCTGTTTGATCTGAATGTAGAGATCACAGGGATTCAGCCTGCGGGCAGGTCTATTCAGGAGCTGCTGCCACCACCACCTCCAGCCTTGCCTAAACAAAAAACCCCTAGTACCCCTGGTACTCTCTAGATCTTACAATGTCTGAAGGCTAGAGATGCAATGCTTCAGATACAGCAGGGGAACTTCAGTGGGATTTTTCCAATACTGAATTGGAGTAGTTTGCAGCCTGATCGATATGCCAGTGTTCAAATGGCAGGAAGCAGAAGAGAGCATTATCCTGCCCTAGCTTGTTCTCTAGCCTCTTCCTATGTTGTTACAGTTTACATCTGTAATTTCCCTAGCCTCCCATTGGTCCAGGAAAGTTGGCTCCGAGTTGCAATATAGCTACCTGCGGGGCAATCTCTAGGCTCATCTTTTGTCATCTAACCTAAATACAAAACTCACTTGAGAATGAATTATTTTCAGGTGACAAGAGATGGATTCCATTCAATTCAGCAAATATAAGACAGTGGTTCCTCAAATAGTCCCACTCTGCTTACTTAATGGCATTTGTCAGCTACCAGGCAGGCAGGAAGCCAGAGAAAATTCATTCACATCATTAACTTACAAGTGAACTGTGTAAATATTGGAAATATTAGAAATACCTACCCCAACTTCTGGTGGGGGATCTTTGTGTTCCGGAATGACACTGGTTCGAATCTAAGGAGAAAAACAAAATTTTCTATATGACTTTAGAATAGAAATTTGTGCATAAGCTTCACTCAGATTCTGGGTTCCTATTTCCTTCATCTGTTGTCAGTGCAAACTCTTTAATCAATGAAGGGACCTGCCTTCAATACTCACTGTAGTACAGCAAAACTATCCTTTTATAGCTATAAGTCTTCCTGATTTTCCTGAGTAGATAGAGCTGCTTATATCCTCATCTATCACCTCCTTGTCACCAATATATATATGGGGATTTAGGTGAATCACCTTTACTGTTTTCAAAAAGTAACCTTCATTCAACTTCAAGGGGAAGGCTAGAGCTGTTATAGAGAAAGTAATTCCATGCACACTTGATAACTGTTCTCTGAGTGAACACTAAGCCTTAAGCCCTTATAGGAGAGCCCTCCTACATGAAAACTTTGTGCCAAGTAATAGCACACTAACATCTCGAGTAATTTGAGAATGAATTCTGGCCCCTGGGATGTAAAAGGTGTCAGAGAAATAGTTGCCTGGGGAAGCATTCCATATGAGCATTCCAAGTTAAATGATCTCTTTGCATAATAAGTAGACACGTGTATCTTTTACTGGGTGATGATTCTTTATCTTTGTCATCCACCAGAGTCACCTGAGGGCCTTTCAAACTATTAGTGCTCATCTGCTCCCAGATGTTCTGAGTCTAATGCATAGCTATTGAGTCTCGTTCTCTTAATGAAAAGATTCCAAATTGAAAAAAAAATCAAAACCATCATTCTCTCTTTAAAAAATTGTAGCAAGACCAAGATAAAACTAGCATGGTATCCTTTGAAAAAAAGATAAGAAAACTAGTTAAGTGAATAGAGAGTTATATGAAACTCTGTCCTGTACAATGGAAGAGCAAGGCTCTGCAGGGAGGGATGGAAATGGAGGACCAACCCAGGACTATGCCATGGAACAATGTTTCTAGAAGTCATATTAACAAAGTTTCTTTAGAAGTGAAACATGCTAAGTCCTTGAATTCCTGACTGGCCAGGCATGCCAGGTCAATGAGCTTAAGAAGATGGGATGCTTAGAATATCTGTAGCAACTTCAGAAGACTTCATCCAGCTTCTATGGCCTGCTGATCCTTAACACAGTTTCTATCTCCCTGAAAAAAGCAACAAGCCATTGCAGAGCATGCCTTTTGAATTTCAACTTGAGGATTTTTCTTTGTTTCTTTATGGCAAAGCCAGCACTATCATTTGCACAATATGTCACTCATTATGACGCTAAATTGTTCATCAGAGTACAAAATAAATGACAGAATAGATCTCAACAGAGTGAATGACACAATTTACAGAACATACTTGGCTCAGAACACATGGCAGAGTGCACCCTGGCTAAGATCTTTTTCATTATAGTAGCTGCAAGTACATTCTTTGACCCAGTTGCACTGTTTGGCATCATTATCTGAGTGCCACCAGCTGGCCTCAGATGATGAAGAAACTAGTGAGTTGTTAGGGACCACAGAGAGCAGATATATATATCTTTTATGCATAGTATGCAGAAATATGGCCTCTGTTTTTCTCTTTATAGTTATTGGACTATACACAT